ATCTCTAGATCTTGTTTTTAAAAGCAATTATTTAGCACCATCTATATTCACATATCCACACTATTTTCTCATCTCGAAACTCAAAAATAACTTTCAAGTTCTTAACAAATTATGTGGCTACTTCATCTGGTTTTCAAAAGTTTTTTCCAGAGTTTGATTCCATAACTATAAAAATCGGACAACTTTGTTGATTGGAATAAGATGCTAGCTCAGGCACTGTCAGGCAGATAAATCTGTCATGGCTTTGTAGAGTTGAATAAGATGCTAGCTCAGGAAGATAACTCTTTCACAGCCTTGTCAATGTCATCTACTTGTGATTTCAGTTTATTCCACTGTTCAATATTCAAAGCAATTCCTGAAAATGAAATTGAAGAAATAATATGCAAACAGGCTAAACAAAAAATTGTCTCAATTTTAGAATATTTTTGGCTCATGTCATTCCTTGTCATGCAAATCCCAAGATCAAACACCTTCATTATCTGAAGGCATTAAGCTTCTGTACTCCCAAACATTTATGTTTTTCTGAGATCTCTTCCAATGCAGCAAAACTACATGATATTATGGCGATCTATTTATTTCTTAAGTCTAAGTTTACAAGAGATGGCTTGCCAATTGCCAAAAGGCATCATACATGTCGGCCAACTTTAAGATAACAATATAAAACATGAATTTTTTTATATTGTAAACTATTTTTGTAAAGTTGATACATTACTGGCCACCAATTGCCATTTCGGCATTATAGGTTGGCCACCATTTACATATAACAAAATAAAAATACAATAGTTTAAAACATGAATTAGCCAGGTTTAAATTTCCAAACTTTTGTTACACTCACCTTTTTTTCCAGGAAGCATCTCACCATCTTTTTCATAAAACTCGCGGAGATTCACAAAAACTTTTCCACGAAACTCATTGATTTTTACAAATCTCATCCTTGAGAGCTGAAAAGATAAAGATTTTAACTTTTTCACTGTAACATAATCATGCCGAATGAATAAAATATAAATTCAAATGATTAGATTTTTATACATGTAGTCTTGCTTCAATACTGTGGATCTCTCTCCTCCTTTATCTACTTCACTAACACATGTAGGAAGATGCATGGTCAGGGCTCACAAGGGCTTGTAGTTAGACTAATCTTACTAAGTTTAAAAGGCCCGTAGCCAGCGAACCCCCCCCCCCCCCCCAGTGACCAAAAATTATTTCAAAATCATGCAGTTTTCACAATTCTGAACACTTTTTAATTGATTTTGGCCATTTTTGGACCAAAATTGTCACAAGTGAACCCCCTTGGCAAATCCTGACTACAGGCCTGATAAGTCTTATGAAATGAAAAGTCTAATGAAATCTTACTTGGAACTGCACTTCTCCCTCTTTTGTCTTTGGGCCTGAAGTCTTAGCTTTCTTCACCGGCTAAAATGTAAATGAAATACAATGTACAGTATTATGATAAAATTTTGCACATCAAAAAAATGCAAGCAATTCAATGATACTATTTGTTGAGTATGAAGGCAACATTCTTAATCAAAAGCATTGTTTTCCTCTAACTGCCAATCAAAATAAATACAGTAAAACCTGTTTAATCCAAACGCCATTGGGACCAGTCAAAAGTGCTCAGATCAGGAGATGCTTACATTTCAAGGTCTTTTGATTATGAGAGTCAATGGGAAATAACACATATGAGACCAAGAATGGGCGTTCACATTAAAGGTATTCTGATAAACAGGTTTTACTGTATTTCAATCATACTTACTGTGACATCATCGGGACCAGAATCTGAGTCACTCGTGTCTGAGGCGGGCTTCTTTGTTTTTGGCATTTTCTATTGCAGAATTTGCAAGAGGAGATAATCTATAAAACAACAAATAGCTGTATTCTGACCCATTAAGTTGATGCTTGCGATTTGATTGACAGAAAAAAAAACATCGGAATACTGTATATAGTTTTGATGAGGTTGCACCGAAAAAAGAAGAGCTTTAAAATACTTTTTATTTAAAGCTTCTAGCTCAATCATGAAGGAAGTTGGAAGGAATATTTGTAAAATTAAAAAAAAACTTAATTTTTTTGTTTTGCCTTGCTTCTGCCAGCACCCCCCCCCCCCCCCTGACTGTCCTGTAGATAACTCTGTTTGGCCCTTTGAAATCTCTTGAAATTGAATGTGATCATGCGCTTTCAACTAGATATGATGTGATCAAGTTATTCAACAGTATACATGCAGCTCTTGATTCTACTTAGTTCTACTTCTGGTGATATTATTGGGCCGTCAACTTGATCAATTGCCGTCAAAATCAAAATTTATTGAAATTACTGATAGTTTTGATTGATCAATGAGAACTAGAAAAACAGCAACTCCAGGGAGTAGCAAATCCCACCGAACGGCAGTTGAGTTACCAAAGATTACGAAAATGAAAAATGGCAGCCATTCTGAAGATCACACGCCATCTTAAAAATGTTTTCTCGAACAGAGCTACTGTGTTTCTAGGCATCAGCATATAAAATTTGAACCAAATCTGTTCACTGGTATTTGACTTATCAAAGATTCAATTTTTCTTATGAAAAATGGCTACCATTTTGAAATTCAGCCGCCATCTTGAAAAAAATTTCTCGAACAGATCTACTGTGTCCCTAGGAATCATCATAAAAAATGAGCCAAATCTGTTCACTGGTATTTGAGTTATCAAAGATTACCTTTTTTACGAAAAATGGCGTCCATTTTGAAATTCAGCCGCCATCTTGAAAATTCTTTCTCGAACAGATCTCCTTTGTCCCTAGGCATCATCATATAAAATTTGAGCCAAATCCTTTCACTGGTATTTGAGTTATCAAAGATTACCTTTTTTTACAAAAATGGCCGCCATTTTGAATATCAAGCCGCCATCTTGAAAATTCTTTCTTGAACAGATCTATTGTGTCCCTAGGCATTATCATATAAAATTTGAGCCAAATCCGTTTACTGGTATTTGAGTTACCAGAGATTACGTTTTTTTACAAAAAATGACCGCCATTTTGAAATTCAGCGGCCATCTTGAAAATTGTAACTCAAACAGATGTACTGTGTCCCTTGGCATCATCATATACAATTTGAACCAAATCTGTTCACTGGTATTTGAGTTATCAAAGATTAAGTTTTCTTACGAAAAATGGCTGCCATTTTGAAATCTAGCCGCCATCTTGAAAATTTTTACTCGAACATATGTACTGTGTCCCTAGGCATCAGCATATAAAATTTGAACCAAATCCGCAAACTAGTATTTGAGTTATTAAAGATTACATTTTTTACGAAAAATGGCGGCCATTTTGAATTCAGTGGCCATATTGAAAATTCCTTCTCGAGCAGAGGTCCTACACCCATAAGGCATAAGCCTATAAAATTTGAATCAAATCCGTGAAACGGTATTTGAGTTCTCGCCCGGACAAACAGACGGACGAACGGACGGACGGACGGCTTTCCTATATCCCTCTCGAACTTCGTTCGGTGGGATAATGAAACTGACAGGTAACAAGCATTCATACTGATGTTGAACTGACTTGATCGGTAGCTTCGGTATTTCCACAGGTGCCCCCTGCAACACAGAAGTTCCTGTGGTGGAGAGAGGTACCACACTGGACACTGTAGACATTGTGGGGAAGGAGTGATTCAAATTTAAAAAAATAACATGTGACCCTATTGAGGGTTGCAGCAAAATTCCGAACATGCACCTTGAGTCGGTTTATTCCCATTTCGCCCCTTCCCATTTCGCCCCTTCCCATCTCGCCCCTCATTTATTCCCATTTCGCCCCTTCCCAATTGGCCCCTTTCCCATTTCGCCCCTTCCCATCTCGCCCCTCATTTATTCCCATTTCGCCCCTTCCCAATTGGCCCCTTTCCCATTTCGCCCCTTTCCCATTTTGCCCCTTTGCCATTTCACCCCTTTCCCGTGTTGTCCCCTTCCCATATCGCCCCTTTCTCTTATCGCGATCGCCCCTTCCCATTTCGCCCCTTCCCATCTCGCCCCTTCTCCATTTCGCCCCTTCTCCATTTCGCCCCTTCCCATTTTGCCTCTCATTCAGTCCCATTGTGCCCCTTTCCCATTTCGCCCCTTCCCAATTGGCCCCTTCCCATTTCACCCCTTTCAATTTTGCCCCTCATTCAGTCCCATTTTGCCCCTTTCCCATTTCACCCCTTGTCTATCGCCCCTTGTGTCAGAACTGGTAACATATAAGGAGATGCAAGCTGCATGCCAGCTTTAAGCTCCGCCTACTTAAACGTCGCATTGACCAATCATATTTGGGAAAGGGGTGAAATGGGTAGGGGCAAAATGGGAATAAATTAGGGGCGAAATGGGAAGGGGCGAAAAGGGAATGAACGAGGGATGAAATGGGAAAGGGGCCAATTGGGAAGGGGCGAAATGGGAAGGGGCGAAGGGGGAATGAGGGGCAAAATAAATGGGACAGGGGCGAAATAGAAGAGGGGCAAAATGGGAAAGGGGCATTTTGAGAAAAGGGCCAAATGGGAAGGGGCCAAATGGGTAGGGGCCAAATGGGAATAAATGAGGGGCGAAATGCGAAGGGGCAAAGTCGGAAGGGGCGAAATGGGAAGACACCCCTTGAGTCGTGACCTTATTATCTACATTGGAGGTGAAATTTGAAGAAGAGCTCACAATTACATGTGACATACACCAGGGTATATATTAGACACCATTGAAATACAATTCTGCATTTAATACCTACACAGTTCTCTAATATCCAAAGAATAGTATAGCAAATTGAAATTATGCTTTCTGAAAAACAAAACCGGAAGCACAAGAATTATTACTAAATTCCAAACTTTCTCTTTGAACGAAAAAGATGAAATCGTATATTTGTAAACTTTGCCATAGATAATTGATAATAGGTGTATAGAAAATAAAAATGAATGATAAAATATGTAAAATAAAATACCTTTTATGGCGCAATATTGTAATATCATGATATAATAATATTTTTAATTCAAAGTTGGAATTTTAGACAAATCCCATGACCTTTGACCTGACCGGTAAAATGGAAAACAAATATAATGTCTTGTCTATTTTCCTATTTATGTGGATAATACAGGTCTTTCAAGCAACAGGTATGTTTGGAGTTCATATCTTGTCTATTTTTCGAAGTGTTTGATTACACTAATTGCTTATTACCTCAAATAAAGGGATTTAGACATGAGAGCGAATCAGGCCAAACTTTGAGAGGGTTGCTGATCAGATCAGGCCATCAGGTGATTTTAGTTTTTTTATGTGTGAGGGGAGGATATTGGATGATTTCTGAATTGTAACTCAAATTTTTTATACAGTATCATTGTTTATCATAGGCATATTGCACTGGAACAAGACTTCTGCCTTACAGGTATCTTGTTCCAAGACCTTTTCTCCGTTCCTCATTTTCACGCCTAACCATCAACGTCAAAAAGTAGCGGAGTACAGTTTTTTGTATGGTGACGTAAATCGACTGCTTTGAAGCAAAAACTATGACAAGGGATCTGAGCCAGATAAAGAAATTGAAAAAAGTGTGCAAAATTCAATGCCCCGTGTGGGAATCGAACCTAGGACCATTTGATCCTAAGACCAGGGCTCTCGCCAGGCTTTTAGACTGTGGCGCAGCACCACACTCTATTTAGCTCCCTCCACACCCTATTGGCAAATCATGACTGTTTCCACAGTCTAAACTTGACCGAATATACAATAATAGCATGTAAAAAGGATAAAACATAACACTTTTATGGTATAATATGATTTATCACGATTGAACGGTTATTCTGAAGATGTTAGCACCACACCCTAAATATTTCCTGGTGAGAGCCCTGAAGACTGATGCTCTACCAACTAATCTATAAAGGCTTAAGCCACTACAGCTGGGCCATAGTAGCAACTTGCTATCAAGGGTTGTTACAACTACATTAGACTAAACTGAGACAAACATAGATTTATGATGGTCTCAGGACTAAATGAGCTAGCATAGTCCCGGGAACATGTATGAAAAATCAGTCAAATACACCAATACTTGGTGGTATTTGACTCGATTTTTATACATGTTTCTGGGCCTTTGTAAATGAGTCTTCTGTTATATTTTGATAATTTTCGGCACTAACTATACGCTGTCACACGTCACATACCTCATGTCTATTGCAAAGCTATTTGAAGAATAATAAGACCTAATGATTTGTTTTCCTTATAACGTGCTCAATCAGCTCGAAGGAATTTAGGAAAGGAGAACTTTCTGGAGGACCATTGTTTTTTGGCTGTAACATTTCATTGCGTGACTTGTATTGTAACAGTAGTTGAAACACATTTTTGTGTCGTTATGTATCCAATTATATACATCTTGGATTTCAACCTATGCTTACTTGTTTATCTTACTTTCAATATTTTAGCATCGAAACCATGCGTGCCGAGAAATTATGGGAAAGGATCATATGTTTGTGTTTGCAACTCCACCTATTGTGACACAGTGGAACCAAATATCAAGGTCCAGAAAGGCTCTTATTCAATCTACGTCTCAAGCAAGGCAGGAGATCGCTTCAAAAGAAATTCTAACACTTTTAAAAGTTCACTCAATAGCTCAGGTAACTTTTTTAAATTAAAATTCATTCTTTTTAGTGGTGTACGTAAGAAATATTGGTGATTTGATACTCTTTTGTCTTGTATAGTGTATGTCAGGCATTGAATTCAGGCTACCACCCTCATTGAAAGTCTCATATAAGGTCCTTGTACTTAAATTCCTACATGATTCTTTCATCCCTGGACTTCAATCCTTTAACCATTACCCTAAACTATTAATTTTGTTCTTGCATGGACATTCAATAATCTATTGAAAGCCCCTGGTTCTTGGTAGTATTCAAATTTTTTGCAGCTAGTTATATTCAAAATCTGTATGTCATTTTTTATGATTTTTCAATTGAGTGCAAATGGGTTTTCAATGGGGTGCAAATGGGATTTTAAGTGGGTGCAAGGTGAATTTCAAAAACACCAGTGGATCCAGCACCTTACTTCAGTTGAGGAATTGATTGAAAATTTTAGCTATGCAGAAAATCACTTTGTTGATTTTAAGTTTCAAGATATGTTAGCACACTTTAAATGAGATAGAATTCCTTGATTAAAGGTCTAAAAACTTTGCCAAGATTTCTAAGGAGTGACAAAAAGTCTTTAAATATGGAGGGATTTTAAAAATATTTTTTTCCCCTTCAATGTACCTCTTAATCAACTTCCATGTTAAAATCATAATGTAGTGTGGCCAGCCAATGGAGATCAAGTTTTGTTAAGTTGTGATTATTTTAAATGAATGTCTTGCATAAATGAATGAATAAGTGATTCAATGTACAATTTATTTTAAAAGATTCTTTTCAGATGATGTCGTATTTACCGTGTTTAAGAATCACACATTCCAACGTATTCTGGGATTCGGAGGAGCATTTACTGATGCAGCTGGGATCAACATTGCCAGTTTGAGTGCAGATACTCAAACTAATCTACTCAAGTCATACTATAGTCCAGAAGGTAAATCCATGACTCAACAATTTTAATGAGTAGACCAGTTTAGAATAACAAAAACACATTCATGATTTCTGTCTTGATTAAATGATGGGATCAACTTTTCCATTTCGGGTTTTGGATTGCTTGATTAATTAAAAAAATTAATCACATATTGATTTATTTTAAATGTATTTTTGTTTCTGATATTAAAGCAAATGAATTACCAAAACATTTTCAAATTTTTTAGGAATAGAATATAGTCTGGGGAGAGTCCCAATGGCGTCATGTGATTTCTCAACAAGGCCATATTCTTATGATGATTCACCAGGAGATTTTGATCTGAAGAATTTCTCATTGGCTATGGAAGATTTGAAATATAAGGTGAGTTGTGTCTGAACTCTCTCTCTCTATCACGGATAAACGATAACTGTGGTCCCTCCAGTTAAGAAGCTGGTGGCAGCCTGGGGGTGGCAGCAAGCAAGATTTATTTGATGTTTTCAAAAATACCATTTATGAACCATCAAAGAATCAGTATTTGACAAAGGTAAATATGGCACTTCCCCATGTAATTTAAATGTAGATAATCTGATTTTTCTCCTCAAAACTTTTCAGATACCTTTCATACAAAAAGCCATGGCAATGAGTAGAAGGAATATACCCATATTTGGTAGTCCATGGAGTGCCCCTGCTTGGATGAAGACCAATCAAAACATGACGGGAAAGGGAACTCTAATTGGAAGTCCGGGTGGAAAATACTACAAAACTTGGGCCAATTATTTCATCAAGTAGGTCTTATTTGTTTACCACAGATGTTGTCAAGGTGATCAGGTTTCAAAGTTTTAATAGATTAAAATGCAGATATTGATATCCCCTGGTGGATAAATATGATATTCTTATTGTTTTCTTTATTTATTCATATTTGTAGATGTTTGTTCCTGTGTTTCTTTGAGTCTTATATGTAATGCTCGCCTTATTTCATGTCATCTTTGAAAACATTATTTTCATTCATTATTCGGATGTTATACTAGTATTTCATCTAATTTATTTTTAACCATATGTCTGTATGTACTTTGTTCCTTGCTAATTTCTCTCCACTCCTCCATATTTTGCATGTTAAAGCATAGCATGTTAAACCATAGCATGTTATTCAGGTTCCTCCAGGCCTATGAATCACATGGTATCCATGTTTGGGGCCTCACGGCAGAGAATGAGCCAACCATGGGTTTGAGGACCGATTACCTCTTTCAGGCCATGGGATTCACTGCCGAAATGCAGCGTGATTTCATCGCCCAGGATTTAGGTCCAGCTTTATGGGACAATGGGTATAAGAACGTTAAACTCATGATTTTGGACGATATGAGGTTGATGCTCCCTGGTTGGGCTGAAACTGTAAGTTCTCTATTAAGGAAGTGTCTGTCGTCCATCCCTATCCACCGCCTAAGCTTTCTTTTCTATTTTTCCAGATGCGAATGAGCTGTATAGTTTTATATAATGGTTAGTATTTTATCTTCAGGGATATTTAAGATAGATGGCAGTCTCAAATCTAACACCTGAGCTTATTATATTTTTCCAGATTCAACTGAGCGAATTAATTTATTTATTTAATCATCGTATTGATATTTATTTATTTAATAGAATCGCTTTTTTATCTGTAGGTACTAGGTATTTATATTTAAGCTATTAGATGGCTGAGGAAGCATACTGTATATGATATCAGTGTGTGTGTGTGCTAGTTAAGTTCAGTATATGTGTTATTTATTATATTTACTGACCCTCTAATCCTGGAGATATTATTTAGTTACAGTATGTAATAAATGTAATAAGAATAACAATTACTATACGTATTTGCTCGGTGAGCAGTGACACAGCAGAAACCCCCTTGGGTAAGCCCTTGTTATAAATTCATTTTAGTTGCCTTAATGCAGCATTTGGGGTTCTGCTGAACTCTTTCTGGATTCATATTGGCCCACCCATGTCTTGTATATTCATTCTATGCAATCGCTTTACATTTGTGTAATTCTCAAATTTTGAATAAAAGCAAGCTTTAAAATGATATATAATTGCTTTCAGAAAGGACTGTTAAGCTAAGTACTGTACTTAGTTAATAAGTAACCTTTGTAGGCTCTCTAAGGGAACCCTCAGTCCCTCACCCCTTCCATTTTAGGTAAATAATTTAGCTAAACTATACCCCATAATTAAGCCTTGTAATTATATACTCTTCCAGGTTTATAGCTGCTTACGAGTCACACAATATATCAATGTGGGGTTTAAATAATTTAGCTAAACTATACCCCATAATTAAGGCTTGTAATTATATACTCTTCCAGGTTTATGGCTGCTTACGAGTCACACAATATATCAATGTGGGGTTTAACAGCTCAAAATGAGCCCACTGATGGTAATATTGATCGATTTTCATTCCAAGCTATGGGCTGGTCAGCCGAGAGCCAGCGAGACTTTATAGCAAGTGACCTTGGACCGGCACTTGCGAATAGCAAATACAACGACGTTAAGTTGATGATTATGGATGATCAGAGACTTTTATTGCCTCGTTGGGCTGAAATAGTAAGTACAATAAAACCACAAAGTTGACTGAATCATAGTGATGAGTAGCCACATTTCATAGTAAAGTACTATGTCATTCAGACCTCCCCCTGGCCAAAAATCATGCAGTTTCCACTGTTTAGAGCAATTTTCAAAAATTGTCAAATGTGAACCTCCTTGGAATTTTTCAGAAAGTAAACCCCCTCCCTTGGCAAAAGCTGGCTTGACTGGCCTGTCATATAACTGTTATGAATTTCGATATATTCTCACAAAAGACCCAATTAATAATATGCCATACCTTTGAAATAGGCAAATTCTCCAACTAAATACTGCCAAAATTAACTTGCAGAAGGTTGTATTCTAATCACGACACAAGATAAAATTTGGTACCTATTCTCTCTAATTTTGGTGAAACTAGAATACAATTATAAAACTCACAATAACATTATGAATAAGAAAAAAAGTAAATCAACCAAAAAACAATAAAGAAAATGTGTGTGTTTCAATATTGCTGATTATCAGTTATAAGTGATATACAGTTTGAAAAAATATTTTGTTTAAAAAATGTTCAAATATATTTTCAGATTCTTCAGTTCCCGGAAGCTGCAAAGTACGTGTCTGGGGTCGGAGTCCACTGGTATACAGATTTTATTGTACCAATTATCGGAGTTGACAAGACACATGAATCATTTCCGGATAAATTTATTTTATCAACAGAGGCATGTGAAGGTTCATTACCATTCGAAAGCCGGAGCCCACAGTTAGGAAGCTGGGATAGGGGAGAGAGTTATGCTCATTCAATAATAGAGGTAAGATATGGTATTTATTCCATAGAGTAGGATTAACTGTAAATGTTATCTGTAGGGAGATATTTCATCACTTTCTTTTAATTGGACATACAACTTCTGTTATCCTGAAACTTTATTGATATAGGTTTCAAAATTACTGCAATGCGTTTGAAAACATGAGATGAATCAGTTTACACTGGGGGGTTGGATATATTGATAACAAAGAAAATACATATTTTATCCCATTTTTATGGTGATGTGCAATACACATTGGGTTATAAGCAATCAGATACTACAGTATACAATTAGTTTCCATGGTGATATTCTGTGATGTCATATATTATTTTCAGGATCTCAATCATTGGATTGTTGGATGGACCGACTGGAACATCGCTCTAGATTTACAGGGTGGACCAAATTGGGTGAAAAACTTTGTAGACAGTCCAATTATTGTCAATGCAGCCAAAGATGAATTTTACAAGCAGCCAATGTATTATGTACTTGGCCATTTTAGGTAATTTCCCACCCCTCTTTATGTTTCATTTTAAACTACACTCCACTCCTCGAAATGTGTAAATAAAGTATTAAGTAGAATGTGAGTTTCAGTAAATTGTGATTTCAATCAATTGTGATTTTCAGTTAAATTGTGATTCCAGTAAATTCCTTTGGATTTCGTAAATTTTTATTGATTTTAATAATACCCTTGCAAATTTCTTGTGAATGTAATTGTCACTATTGTAACATTCCTTGTCATTTTACTGAGTTTCTTGTTATTTCAGTAAATTCCTCCCAAATGGATCCAAGAGAATTGCAGTGAAGGGGAACAAAAGCACCAAGTTAGAGACGGTTGGTTTCATGCTCGCTGATTCTTCTATAGTAATGGTTGTCTCTAATAGGTAAGGTCATTCTGACTTTGATAAAGTTAGTAAAAGTAACGAAATATTTTTTGAAAAATTTTGTCTCATTTCCTACAGAAGTTTTTTCTAAAGATCGGGGGTTTGTAAGGACTTATTATACTGCATATATGTCGGCCTACTTTATAAGCATTTGAATACAAAAATTCATAAATTAACGAATGATTTATTTTGATTTCAGGGAAGATGATGCTATTGGATATCATATATATGACCCTACTATAGGATATATAAACCTAGTGGCTGAGCCACATTCCATTCAGACAATTATCTGGTGGAGTTCGTAAACAAACAAGTGCCAAATAAATAAACAAGTCAGGGGTTTCACTAGAATTTCTCACAACAGGCTAAATAAATGAAACCAACAGGCAAAATTAATGGAAATTAATTAAATTTATCATGGAAAAGTTGAAAAGTCCCTTAAAACAAGAGGCGATTTTGTGAAAACAACCACCATATGTGATACAAATGAGTGTGTAATCCCATGTGTGTGATACAAATGAGTGTGTAATCCCATGTGTGTGATACAAATGAGTGTGTAATCCCATGTGTGTGATACAAATGAGTGTGTAATCCCATGTGTGTGACACAAATGAGTGTGTAATCCCATGTGTGTGATACAAATGAGTGTGTAATCCCATGTGTGTGATACTAATGAGTGTGTAATCCCATGTGTGTGATACAAATGAGTGTGTAATCCCATGTGTGTGATACAAATGAGTGTGTAATCCCATATGTGATACAAATGAGTGTGTAATCCCATGTGTGTGATACAAATGAGTGTGTAATCCCATGTGTGTGATACAAATGAGTGTGTTATCCCATGTGTGTGATACAAATGAGTGTGTAATCCCATGTGTGTGACACAAATGAGTGTGTAATCCCATGTGTGTGATACAAATGAGTGTGTAATCACATGTGTGTGATACTAATGAGTGTGTAATCCCATGTGTGTGATACAGTTATACTGTTACAATGATTCTATCTCAGAACATGGCAATTTATAGTTTTGCAGTTCCAGAAGTACATATTGTGCTGCTTTGTGCAATTGCAACATGTTGTGCCATGTTTAAGTCACCACCATACACGGTGACATATTGTTAGAGTAACCTTCTTTTTTGTGGACATAAGTGTATTTCAGCAGTTGGTGTTCGGTGATTCGGTCAGTATCTGTAACAAATGGCAAGTGGTGACATTTTTTAGTCCACCAGATGTGGTGACATCATGTTGACAGAATTTGGTGGTTGATTTTCTGTAGCTGGCACTCAGTGTCTGTAATAAATGGCAGGTGGTGACATTTTGCATGTAAATGCCTTGTTTGTGGCTGTTGGCATTCAGTTTGTGTAACAAATTGTTACATATTTATAATTGCAGCCAGGTTGTTACATATTGCCAAAATTATGTCCTAGCACTAGCTGCAGTACCGTATGACATTGTAGTAATATTTAAAGGTAGAATCAGATCTGCAAGGTCCAGATGAGAACTTTTGACAAAAATTGTTTCAATTTTAGAATATTTTCGGCTCATTTTAATCCTTATCATGCCTATTTTCAAAAGATAACCAAAATTTGTACTGTATTTGAGGAAAACTTTACAATCATTTTTACAATAATACATTGATTTTTCTATTTTATGGTTACAATTTTTATTATTTTGGAGAATTAAAACAGTTTTCCCCATTTTGGCACTTGAAATCAACATTTTATAACATGTGGATCTTTTGGGATATTTTGTTATATTTGAGCTTGTAACGAATATATTGGTCGGTCAACTGAAGCAAGTTACTTGCAATTTTATCACTCCCGATGGATCTGATTCTCCCTTTAAGAAATGCTCATTAGAGATATGTCTTCTAGAAATGTGCTCTATAAAAGTGCATTAAAAATTATCATTAAAAATATGCACTCTAAAAGTGTGCACTGTTGAAATATGTTCAATAAAAGTGCACTATAGAAATGTTCAGTATCAAGAAATGTGCACTCTAAAAGTGTGCACTGCATAAATATGCACTATTAAAGTGCACTATAGAAATGTACACTACTATGATTTGCCAAATCATGTCATACTTACGTACTAGGAACATTGTCCATGTTATTGTTATTTTTTTTTTACAAAAATACATGTATTCCTCTCTTTGTATTTGAAATACAAATACAATATAGCTAAGGATCTTGTAAAATGTGCCAAGAATTTATTTCCATAGTGAGGTATTTCATCATTGTTTAGCAAGAGAGGGTTATTGTTTTGAACTAAGGTCCTCATACACAAGATTTAAGGCCCCGAATAGCCTTGCCCAAGTCGGTATTTTTTTACTTATCTGATCTTGAATTAATAGAAAATAATAGAAATCAAGATAAGTAAAAGAGACCGACTTGTACAAGGCTAGGCCCCGGAGTCCAGTTCCTCATGTCTGTCTGCCTATAGGGTACTTTCTCGCCCTGCATTATTGCCAATTTTTGTGTGGCCATATATGGGATCGGATCAGTGTACTACAGGGTGTCCAAAAAATCTACACTTTACACAGACATTTTATTGTAAAGTGACTTTATGAACACCCTGTACTTTATATGTACATTTTACGATGTATTGATTCATTTGTCTGTTTATTATGATTTAATTATAATTTAATGTAATGTGATATCAAACAAATTTATACTAATGACATGAAAGTATGAAGTACCAAGAAATAATGTGTACAACTTTTTTCTACATAATTTATGTACAGTACATTTTGAATGTTGAATATACAACTGAATAAAAATGAACTGATTATTATGTGATAATTTGTGCCCTAAAATATACTAGTTTGAAGCATGGCATCTTACACAATATTGTTATTGTCCCATTCAAGTTTGGGAATTTATTGAATTCCTCCATTTGGGTCCAAAATCACGGCTTGCAATCGGAAAAATGAGTGGAGGTGGGGGAGGAGGTGATATCTACTAGAAAATGCAACAAATCTGCAATTCATTTTTTCATGAGAAAGATTAGGGATAAATCACTAAATTAATTGAAATGAATGGTTTTTACTATGATTTTCTATGCGAAAATGCGAATGTTAAATAACCATTTTTTGAGAAATACGTTTGAGACGGTAGGGAATATACAAGGGCCGATCAAAAAGTTTCTTACCGTTGGCTCTCAATTTTATAATAAGAGGAGTTGAAAGCTCAAACTTTTACATGAGATAGGATAGTTAGTTTGCTTGAAACTGTACGAGTTTCATATCAATTGGTTTATTGGTAGTGACACAGAGTCAATTCATATTTTCAATGACAAAGTTAGGTGGAGCAGCGTTATATATAAAATATCTGCTGAGTTGTGGTTCTGGAAATTTACTGACATCGTTTAAAACCTCTCATACGAAGGCCTTAAACATGTGATTTTGGATCGAGTGGACAGATATAGGACGTGCATTGCAACTGGAGATGAATATTTTGAATGAGAATGAATATTAGCTGAAAAACTAATTAAACATGATTAAACTACAGTCTGTTGACAGATGACACTACTTAGTGTTAGAAATTTCCATAACTGCAGCTTAGCACTATTTTTTCATAAAAACGCTGCTCCACCTAATTCAATCATTGAAAATATGTATTGACTCTGAGTCACTACCAATGAACCAATTTAAATGAAACTCAGACTGTCTCAAGCAAACTTACTACCCTGTCTCATGTAAAAGTTTGAGCATCCAACTCCTCTTATTATAAAATCTAGAGCCAACGGTAAGAAACTTTTTGATCGGCCCTTGTATATAGGTTATTTACTTGGAGGGATTGAATATGCCAAGGGGTCAATACCCGGGGTCAATATCATGTTTTTGCGAAGAATAAAACCCATATTCAATCCCGACCAGAAATAACCTATTTATTCCATAATACATTCCTCTAAAATGTTACATTTGGATAATGCAAACATTATATAATAAATGCACATTGTTTGAAAGATAAAATAAATAAATAAAATAACCGGGAAACCAAAGATACGATTATTTCCGGGGACAATACGATTCTTTCATGCAATACGATTTATTTCCCGGGGACAATACGCTTCATGTAATACGATTCAATACGATTTTTATTGTTTCATATTTCCCTGGAAAAACAGTAGTATTATGGAATAGATGCGCAAATCAATCATACATGTTTTTGCAATTTGACACATCCTGTTTCTGAATAGTTGGGAGGGGGAACCTTGTTCATTTTCTTTTACAACATTTTGGCTGAAACGGCAAAGATTTGGTCCTAGCTACGTTCCCCATCTTCGAATTCCAAGTGGTTAGAACAAGTGCATGTTGTGAGAACATTTGAAGAAGTGCAACTCTTTCCGCATCTATGGAATTGCAGAAACGTGAAAATGATCCAATGGTTCTATTTCGCCAGTTTCACATATATTACAATTTCTGTCTCCCCATTTTTTATTTCCATTAAGTATGAAGATGATTAATTAAAAAGCATGATGATGTAAGCTTTCCAATGGTGTACTCATAGTTGAGGCTTACTCGAGTCTCTAGCCAATACTTGATACAGTGGCCTTAGAAGAAGGTAAGTTGAGGCTAGCTATATCATATCGTATCAAAAACATTACGTTTTATACATGTAAGTCGTCTGCAAAAATATTTCGGTACGTAGTTTCAGTAATAATTTTGTTCACCCTCGTTTCACGGGATGTAGAACCACTCTCTACGATAGGAAGTGTGCAAATACGCATCCAGTAAAACCTGTCTAATCCGAACGCCTCTGTAACCGGCCAGAAGTGTTCTGATTAGCAAGTAGTTCACATTTCAAAGTCTCATGAATATATAAGTTAATCGGAGATTTGGTGCCAGGAAAAGGTGTTCAAAATCAGAGGTGTTAGGGAGGTGTTCGGTTAAGTGATGTGTTCGGAGTTACAGGTTTCACTGTATATGATAAAGAAGGGAGATGTATGTGTTCGAATAAACTTTGATTCTTTTCAACGATATAGGTCATTACCCCGAAAGGAGTGGTATCGATATGGTGAACTTTTTGAACATTCTGAAAACTTTACACATCGTCAATTTAATGCAATGGTCATCTTTTGGATTGTAACATTATAATTTGAAATATATAGTAGCCGAGACAACACAAGTCCCAAGTCTGTATATTTACTCTCATTTCTTCACTTTTAAGAGTTAAGTCACCAGATTTTGCATGCACCTTCCTTGGAGAAATCCTAACATAGAATTTCATTGGTTTTGATTATTATTTATTTGTTAAATATAGGGAAACATTTGATTTTGATTGGTCTATAATCAAAATTTTCCATTTTGTGCAACAAATGCAACATTTTGACGTTATTAATAAAACTCCAAGTTATAAATGACAGATACATGTACAATATGGTGTCTCTAATCTTATTGACAATAAATATCACTAGTTATTTTTTACCAGTCATCAGATCGTGCATTGGAAGTGTACCTCGATGAGACATGCATTCATTGATTGTGGCGAACAGTGAATTTTCAAAGGAATGTTGGAGTCGCACCATTATTTTGCTGCATTTTGGTGCTTCTTTTTCTATTTAAGGTCGTTTTGGTACCACTGTGATGTCATAATATATGATTTGATGTCATAATATGGGTACCAAATTGAAGCTCACATTACAAGCTTTAAGATGATACCAAATATGTCATCATTCATTTGATTAAAATGGTAACTAGAATAAGCTCAAAAGGTATGCCACTCCCCTACCCCATCCATTTTTCAGGCCATTGAAACATGCCAAAATTTCAAATAATGCAGGCATCTTCATGGGTCATTTTTGGCCCCGTTTTATTTAAAATATCATGTTTCTGCATACCATTTTTTCTCAGAAATGTCTTAACTACCTAAGACAGTTACATTTGTGCTGAATAAGAAAACATTTGGTCATTTTGGAGTTATTACACCAAAAGTAGAGACTTTTATTAATTTCGTCAAAATGTTGCATTTGTTACAAAATGGCAAATTTTGGTTATAGACCAATCAAAATTAAATGTTTCCCTATTTTTAACAAATAAATTATTATCAAAACCAATGAAATTCTATGTTAGGATTTCTCCAAGGAATGTGCATGCAAAATCTGGTGACTTAACTCTTAAAAGTGAAGAAATGAGAGTAAATATACAGACTTGGGACTTGTGTTGTCTCGGCTACTATATACTTTTCTCTATATTGTTTTAGAAAACACATCAGACACTTCTTTCGTTCTTGGTATCATATGTTCGGAATGAAATGAAACATCTATCCGAACCTCATTGGAACGAAACGACATATGTCTATCAATATTGTAATTATACAAAGAAAAGTTTGGTTGATTTTAAAAAAGTATCTTGTTAATGAAATAAAAGGTTTATCTTAATTTTTATCTACTTTGGGGCTTTTGTTTTAAGTTTTTTCATACTTTTTGTAAAATCAACCAAAATTTCCTTTGTATAACTATAATATTGTGAGGTCTTAGAAAATGCTGTATATGCTATTTTGTTCCGACAAAGTTCGGAAAGACATTTTATTTCATTCTCAAGAATTGGTAGAAAGGCACAAAAACAATTGCACTAAAAACAAAAAATGTTAACAAAAACAGTTATGTAAAATATATATAAATAATTTTTGCATTAAATTGTTGCCAATCAGTCAACATTACATAAAGGACCTTGTTTTTTAAAGAATGTTTTCAATAATTGGTTTAAGAGAAAAACATTGTTGAATTCAGTTCACTGGTGTATTGCCACCTTAACTCAGTATCCTAACAAGATAAGCCTGAAAGGGGGCATGTCAAAATCAATTAAACCTTGGGAATTAAACCTTAGTAAAATCAAAATACTAACTAATGTAAATGCGTTGAATCTTGCCTACAGTACCTTCCTGTTTACTTCATTCCTGTCTATTTCCATCATTTCACTTATTTTTCAAATTAAAGAATAATCTCAACTTTGAGATGGCCCTTGCTCTGTAGAGATATCAGGTTGTATAAATAAACACACTGCACTGGAGACAATGTATACCGTATTCAATACAAAATGTGCCCCTGGTTTGTAAAATCATTTCACTGTTGCATTTGGAAAAATAGAAACCACATTACGCATTTAAGCTACCCAACAAAGAAGAATATATAGTTAATTATATGTTTTATACATAGATAATATCCATTTTGCCAGTCTAAACATTTTGGGTCTATTTCTGAGGGGATATGGTAAGTCACAGGGACCTAGTTATTCCCCAGTAGCAAGAATTATCAAGTTCAGTGATTCCTGTAGTAACTTATAAGAATTTAAAGAATTTCTAGGAACTTTAAGATAATTTTTGATATCCTTGATGCACAGTATTTCAGTAAATTAGAACATCGAAAGCTGACTAAGGAATCTGAATTCCAGAATCCATGCAGAAATGGATCTTTTGAAGTTTAACAAAAAGGTGGGTGTATTTGTTTATTTACACTTAACAGTCACCTTTAGATTGTGCAAAAGTAAAAAGTTGACAAACATTGTTGGCCTTTGCTTTTTACGTTTTATGTTAAATGTTTTGCCCAAGCGCAATGCCGATTATATCTCCGCTCATTGTTAGTTCATGTTATACATTTAACAGAAATAGCACACGGGTCACGGGGAGTAAGTCAACCCCTCACCCTATGTTAGACCCTATACAAGTATAAGTAAGTTGTGTAATAGAAGGGTGACTGATGGCTCGGTTACATTTGATCTACGGCAACCGTAAGGCGGCCGTAGCTTCGCAAAATCGAGAGAAATATGTAACATAAAACATAGGAATATTAAGCAGTACGATGTAGATTTTCTGTATCCATGTTGTAAAGCTACGGTCGCCGTAGAGCATGTGTGACTGGGGCTTAACTCACATTGGAATACTTCTGACTTGGACCAAAAGATGACGTTCAGTCTCAACATCACAAAAATTTTCAAAATAATGCCATGGGCATTCAACAGAGCATTCGCCTCATCAGCCTCAAAGTTCTATCGCCAGGACATGTTCAATAAGTAATCCTCTTTGGGCATAACTAGGCTTTTTGGCCATATTTTCAATTTTAGACCAGATATTCAAGAAAACGGGCCTTCAATTTTCATTTTCATTTGGCCCAATATTTGGTTTTAGGAGCCCAAATTTTTCAACTTGAAATGTACCCTCCCTTGATAGTTTTCAATTTTATTGATTTTTATGATAAAGTACAAAAATGTAAAACAGATTCATCACTTTACCCTTTAACTTGTGGGTAAACACCACAGATTGGCCCAAATAATATTTGAGATAATTCAGGAGGTCGCGTTTTGGGATTACTTTTTTAGTCAAACTTTTCAAGTAAATAATTATAAAAGAGAATTGTGAAATTTAAAAAAAGACTTGCTGCATATATTTGATACATTACAGAGGTACATTACGTGATTTTTATTTTTAGTTAACTTTTTGTGCTTTCTTATTCTTTCTTCTCCTCTAAAAATGATTATGCCCTTTAAGGTAAAAATACGATGCTTGATTTTTACTTAACATGGCATAATAATAACAAATGAGTCATAGAAAGTCTAGAGAAATATTTGGAACTTTTTCATTCCTCCCCTTCCCCATGGGCCATCATAATCAGACAATTTCAGTTCCATGTAACTTGTCTGCTGTATGTAGGATGGTTATCAGTGTGTTATGGCACTGAAAAATTAAATAAACCTAACCCACCGGCACCCCCACCCTCTACCACTGGCGTCATTGATCAACCAAGCAATCAATAGCGACAAAATGTGCAATACAGATCCCTTCAGGTTTTAATGACTTCATAAATTTGCAATAGGATATTAGTCAGTGCTATCATGATAACTGTTGGAGGGTGTGATGTTTATCAAAGGTCAAGCATCATCTCCACAGTCATGTCATTTTGTCAATTTTATGATTCAAGGCAATCTATTATCACAACCCAATCGGGGCAGCGGCACAATCAAATGATCAGGCCAATCACTATTAAAGACACCACATGATCTAGATTCTATGTGATAACTGTGTTAAAATGATGCATAATATGAAAAGGGTTGTTCAAAAATAATTTTAATCCAAGCAACGAAAATGCTTTCATACTGTTTCAAAAGTCGCAATTACCCGGGATTTGCGTTCCCCTTCCACACACACAATAGTACACACGTCTCAAATCTCGCAGGTGCACGAGACTTCACGAGACTTAAAATGGCCGCCACTGTTTTGGAAAATATTTCCTGATTTACAATTATTTGTCAAAAACAAGGAGTTGTGCGATGTCGAGGTCGTTTAAGTCGTACATAGATGTACAGGAACCGCCAGAGAAGGCCGAGGTAGAGTCAAATAGTGTGTTCTATCTAGAGGTAAACCAGAAACGATGCCTACAATGATCTGCTTCCCTTCCCCCTTTTTTTCACCCCGATCTGTAGGAACTTGTATCAGAAGACATCTTCAGTGGTCCATCAGGAAGAACAGTGTCATCAAGGAAACGCCCATTTCCTTCACTTGATAAAAAGTACTTGAAAAGTATTTGTACAGACAGACATCATGAAGAAGCTGATTATCTCCTGATACAGGTCCCTGTGCATAGATACATGTATGGCAGATGCCCCGAGATGGTGTTATTATTGGCTTTTATGTGTCAAATTCATAGTTTTACAACACAACTCTAGTTCAATGGCTAAGTTTCTGACACAACATCTGTTTTTGGCTTGCTACTGTATTCAAGGCTTCTCCTCTTGCCGAGCTTTCCACAGTTTGCTTGAAAAGTCACATACACATATGTTCATCAAATATTGAATTCCCTTTCGGTCTTTCTATTTCCTGTGGCTCAAGACTGCTGTTAACTGTTTTTCAACTTATTACAAATAGTATTATGATTGTCATTTACAGGAAGTCATATCCTTCAACTTTGAAACCCTGTAGCGATGTTTATATAAATTTATAGTTTTTTTTCTATCAGTCTGTTAGATATATCATAACCCGAAAAATTGAATTTGTTAAAAGTGCTCTTCATATTTACCTGAATCCGAAAATTACACGTCACACTGTTTGTGTTGAAAATGTGTTTGCACTCTGCCAAATTGGTTACATTAAGTTGTTTTGACCAAATTTGGTAAAATAACACCCTTTACAGAAAAAATCCTGGGAAGATCACTGAGAGTTATTTCTTTCAAAATCATGCAGTTTTTCACCACCAGAATTTTTCGCATGATTTTAGTAGTGGTGTAACGAGTGACTCGGGTAATCGACTCGAACTCGAATGAGCCTAGAAAAATGATCAATCGATTGAAAATTTGAAAATCGTGATCCTGAAAATTTCTGAGAAAAATCGCGATTTACCTTCCATAGTCACGATTTAAGCAAAACGGAACCTAATCCGTTCAGAACTACATCATTGAGTGGTCATTAAACTAAAAGTCGATGTAAGTAGTGACAAATGCCTTGATTTTTCAGGTTCTAATTTTTGTCAATTTTTAAAAAAAATAATCGCCAAAATCGTCTACTCGATCGTCAAATTTATCATTCTACTCGAGTAGAGATTTTGGTGCCGAGTCCCACCACTAGATTTTAGCCAAAATTGTGAAAAAGCTCCCTCCCCCTGGAAAAACGCTCCCCCTCCTGGTAAAAGCTGGCTATGGGCAAGGTACTATATGTACAATATATGTAATAAGACAACCCTCTCAAAAACACAATATTTTGAGAAAGGTCAGATGTTCACATACAAATTTAGTCTTGGGAAAATCATCTTATCTAAATCACATTGAAACATAAAAGCTATGGTCTACAAGATTCTGAAAAAAGCAAAATGTATGAAAACAACGGGAAGAAATATTGAAGACTGTCATTGTAACGTAGAGCTTGATATTCAATTTTGGATGCCATCAACAGTTTGAGATGGTCCCTTTTGATAAATTGCAATTTTATTACCACTGCTATTTCCTTTTACTCTATTTGATGTTGACAAAAATCTCCCTTACATTTTAGCATTGATATGGTTATTATTTGGCAACAACATTGGTGAGTGACTGGTTTTCCTTGTTGTCATTTTTCACCCCTCTGTGCTCCAACTACAAAATGATGTTGTGAAGAAGTGTCATGTTTTGTTTAAGTGAGTTCTCGACTCCAGATTTTAAGTAGGGTACTCTTCAACCTGATTTTACCTGAAATCTTGAAATACAAAGTACAAATTACAAACATACCCCAAATCTTGAAATACAAACATACCCCAAATCTTGAAATACAAACATACCCCAATATCTCATCATTTTCATCACTGTTGCTTTGATGCCAGGAATATCACTGAAAAATCTACACTATTTGATGGTAAAATAAAAGCCATTTGAAGAACTTATTGGATTTTCTTTTTTTGCTTTTAGGCTTCAAATGTGATGGATGCAAAACTGGAGCCAAGTCTCCTTCCAGGTCAGTCTAATCAATACATATTCAATTCAATTCAATTTATTGAATTAAAAATCAGTCATACAATGTTTCATCCAATACATGAAAAAGATGGGGCGTATACATTTCATGGCTCATTAGATTTTCAACAATCAGGATTTACTTATTAACCAGAAGCAATTTGAATTTAATTGGAAAAAAAGAACAGATATACATTGTGGGATCAACAGCAAGTATTACCCTTTGGAATACTCACCAAAGTGCTAGATAAAAGTGAGACTCTGATAAATCAGAATGATTTCTATCCATATTATAATAAATCCAAAGAGAACTGTATTGTGTGCCCAAAATTATATTATTTTGTAGCTATCAGTTAATGTTAATGCCTTATTATGTGAGTTATAAATCTAGGATGTATTATATCTCAAATGAAAGCAAACATTTTGAAACTCTTTTTTTGGTTACCACTTTCAGCGGATATATATGCCAGTCTTCTTACTACTTTGACATTTTAAATTAGTTTTGAAAAAACATTTTGATATAATAAAGTGCAACTACAGTATAAGTGGAAAACTTGTCATGTCGTTTATTAGGCACTAGTTTGACAATACACAATAGTCTAATTTACACAACTAATGTTTCAATTATGTGGAATTGGTTTTCATCTTTACTCAACTACATGTACCACTTTAAACATTCATATTTTTATATGTTCATGCCAAAAGGCAGAAAATAGGCAATTATTGGCAAAAATCACTTCCTTATTATCCATTTAATTTTCTAGGTGAAATTCTAATAGGAACAGCACACAATGTTCTCAAGGTCAGTCCCTATAGCGACCAGAAACAAGGAAGTGGGACATATGGCTCCCTCTTTTGCACAAACTTCAAACTAAGCTTCTTAACTGCTGATAGGTCTTCGTATGAATTGGTAAGAAATGAAAAAATAAATTGATAAAAATCTATAAAAAAGATCATATGAATTGGTGAGTTTTAGTATTCGTGAAATTAATTATAAATGATTTTGTGTCTGCACCTTCATGTACTTTATCTTCATATAAAAGCTGACGATTATGTCAGAAAAACAATTTCCCAGTAATAAATATACACTTGCTTCAAACATTAACTTAACAGGAAATGGCAAAACAGGAAGTGACAAAACCATGCTGAATTTCAAACATTTTTTGAACCAAGATAACAGAGTTCTGTTCTAAGCTTCTACTTTTAGCTATTTTACAGCCACATTTTCAGAGGGCTGAAAAAGTTATTTCATCATGTTTAAGGTCATTCTGACCATGGCCATTGTGATCCTGGTCATGTAAATGATATGTAGAACTAGTTAAACTGACTGGAGGTCAAAACAGAACTCTGTTATTTTGGTTCAAAAAATGTTTGAAATCCAGCATGGTTTTGTCACTTCCTGTTTTGTCATTTCCTGTTAAGTACCACGGAATATTAAAACAGTGAAATATTTAAATCAATGAAACCATTGGGAAGTTTGTTTTATGTATTTTCATGTAGTTTTGAGATCTAGATAGATATACTCAAAAGACAGGCTTGATCTAATAACATTTTCATGATTATCTTATTTATTTATTTATTTGTTTGTTTTATTTATTTTTAGATGGGATCTAAACAAAGGAATTTGCTCCTCGATGAATATGACATCTCTCTATCTTGTGTCGACACAGTTTATTCTGGTAAGTATTTTAAAGGTTAAACGTCATAGCTCATGTTTTGAAATTAAAAAGATAAGAAATTGATGGAATTAGCAGAATAAGTAAATAGGCATGAAGGGGACACTGAATTGTACATGAAGAAAGAAAATCACGATTATCAAATCAGAGAGTTAAGAAATTAATCATCAAGAAGTAAAGTAAAAAAATCTCTTAGATGTATATAGCCTGTATTTGTCCCCTTGAGATCTGTTATCCAATAATGATATCATTTGTGCCATTTTTGTTTATTTTGGGATTATGTTCACTATAGTAAGCACATATACAAGGAATGCATGTGTAGGTGAGTTAAGGTGGGCCATGTACATGTAGATTGGGAGCATAACGTGAGTTAAGGTGGTCTATGTACATGTAGATTGGGAGCATTACGTGAGTTAAGGTGGTCTATGTATGTGTAGATTTGGAGCATCACGTGAGTTAAGGTGGTCAATGTACGTGTAGATTGGGAGCATTACGTGAGTTAAGGTGGTCTATGTACATGTAGATTGGGAGCATAACGTGAGTTAAGGTGGTCTATGTACATGTAGATTGGGAGCATTACGTGAGTTAAGGTGGTCTATGTATGTGTAGATTTGGAGCATCACGTGAGTTAAGGTGGTCAATGTACGTGTAGATTGGGAGCATTACGTGAGTTAAGGTGGTCTATGTACGTGTAGATTGGGAGCATTACGTGAGTTAAGGTGGTCTATGTATGTGTAGATTGGGAGCATTACGTGAGTTAAGGTGGTCTATGTATGTGTAGATTGGGAGCATTACGTGAGTTAAGGTGGTCTATGTATGTGTAGATTGGGAGCATTACGTGAGTTAAGGTGGTCTATGTATGTGTAGATTGGGAGCATTACGTGAGTTAAGGTGGTCTATGTACGTGTAGATTGGGAGCATTACGTGAGTTAAGGTGGTCAATGTACGTGTAGATTGGGAGCATTACGTGAGTTAAGGTGGTCTATGTCCGTGTAGATTGGGAGCATTACGTGAGTTAAGGTGGTCTATGTACGTGTAGATTGGGAGCATTACGTGAGTTAAGGTGGTCTATGTCCGTGTAGATTGGGAGCATTACGTGAGTTAAGGTGGTCTATGTACATATAGATTGGGAGCATTACGTGAGTTAAGGTGGGCTATGTTTGTGTAGATTGGGAGCATTACGTGAGTTAAGGTGGTCTATGTACATGTAGATTGGGAGCATTACGTGAGTTAAGGTGGTCTATGTACATGTAGATTGGGAGCATTACGTGAGTTAAGGTGGGCTATGTTTGTGTAGATTGGGAGCATTACGTGAGTTAAGGTGGTCTATGTATGTGTAGATTGGGAGCATTACGTGAGTTAAGGTGGTCTATGTATGTGTAGATTGGGAGCATTACATGAGTTAAGGTGGTCTATGTATGTGTAGATTGGGAGTGTTACGTGAGTTAAGGTGGTCTATGTATGTGTAGATTGGGAGCATTACGTGAGTTAAGGTGGTCTATGTATGTGTAGATTGGGAGCATTACGTGAGTTAAGGTGGTCTATGTATGTGTAGATTGGGAGCATTACGTGAGTTAAGGTGGTCTATGTATGTGTAGATTGGGAGCATTACGTGAGTTAAGGTGGTCTATGTATGTGTAGATTGGGAGCATTACGTGAGTTAAGGTGGTCTATGTACGTGTAGATTGGGAGCATTACGTGAGTTAAGGTGGTCAATGTACGTGTAGATTGGGAGCATTACGTGAGTTAAGGTGGTCTATGTCCGTGTAGATTGGGAGCATTACGTGAGTTAAGGTGGTCTATGTACGTGTAGATTGGGAGCATTACGTGAGTTAAGGTGGTCAATGTACGTGTAGATTGGGAGCATTACGTGAGTTAAGGTGGTCTATGTCCGTGTAGATTGGGAGCATTACGTGAGTTAAGGTGGTCTATGTACGTGTAGATTGGGAGCATTACGTGAGTTAAGGTGGTCTATGTCCGTGTAGATTGGGAGCATTACGTGAGTTAAGGTGGTCTATGTACATGTAGATTGGGAGCATTACGTGAGTTAAGGTGGGCTATGTTTGTGTAGATTGGGAGCATTACGTGAGTTAAGGTGGTCTATGTACATGTAGATTGGGAGCATTACGTGAGTTAAGGTGGTCTATGTACATGTAGATTGGGAGCATTACGTGAGTTAAGGTGGGCTATGTTTGTGTAGATTGGGAGCATTACGTGAGTTAAGGTGGTCTATGTATGTGTAGATTGGGAGCATTACGTGAGTTAAGGTGGTCTATGTATGTGTAGATTGGGAGCATTACATGAGTTAAGGTGGTCTATGTATGTGTAGATTGGGAGCATTACGTGAGTTAAGGTGGTCTATGTACATGTAGATTGGGAGCATAACGTGAGTTAAGGTGGGCTATGTTTGTGTATATTGGGAGCATTACGTGAGTTAAGGTGGTCTATGTACATGTAGATTGGGAGCATTACGTGAGTTAAGGTGGTCTATGTACATGTAGATTGGGAGCATTACGTGAGATAAGGTGGGCTATGTTTGTGTAGATTGGGAGCATTACGTGAGTTAAGGTGGTCTATGTACATGTAGATTGGGAGCATTACGTGAGTTAAGGTGGTCTATGTACATGTAGATTGGGAGCATTACGTGAGTTAAGGTGGGCTATGTTTGTGTAGATTGGGAGCATTACGTGAGTTAAGGTGGTCTATGTACATGTAGATTGGGAGCATTACGTGAGTTAAGGTGGTCTATGTATGTGTAGATTGGGAGCATTACGTGAGTTAAGGTGGGCTATGTACGTGTAGATTGGGAGCATTACAAATGATGAAAATACGATGGTGGTTATGATCTATTTAAGATGTAAAATACAGGGTGTCCCGAAAGTATGGGACCCCCCCCCACTAGGCAGACATATACCAATGTCTCCATAATATGTGTCATATAGCATTTTAAAGCTTAAATCCAAAAATACTTGATTTGTTGAGTATCATTGTTCAACTAAAAAATGGGGAAAGTTACAGGCATTTCAAATTTGGTGTTTGGCCAAATGTGGAGTTCAGTTCAGTGTCTTTGAAACAGCTCCTAACCTTTTTCTCATTTATGAGTTGAACCATGATACTTTGTAAATTTATGTTACTTTGGATAAGCTTTAAAATGATATAGGACACATACTATGGATACATTGCTACAAGTCTCCTGAGAGGGGGGTCCCATACTTTCGGGACACCCTGTAGACTAGAGTAGAAAATTTTCATAAACAAGTAATAGAGTACATGGGTGTTGTGTTACATTTAGAATTAGCATGCTCTTGAGGAAATGGGAAGCCAATGGCCTACCAATAATGGGGATCCGGGGCTTGCATCCTTGAAGTTTTAAATCCTGTTTGTTAATGTGATCATTTCTGATGAATCTAGATCTAAAAATATCAGCCCGGGGATTTTCAAATTTACTGGTACTGGCTGGGGGCTGGAACTGAACATAGAAGCAAATGTGACAAACGTATTATATATGTGTATTTTGTAACTACGTCTTGCTAATTACCATCTCATACTTTGAAATACATGTGACAGCCAATCAACTCTGCTTGGCGTTTCCAATAAAAATCAAATTTTGTTTAAGCATTGATTTCGAGAGAAAGTCTGTTGCATAACCACTGAAATTGGATTTGACGACTGATGATGTATCTCTCAGTACGGCTAGTATCAATGAGTTCTTTGTGTTCTCTGTTCGTGATTAGGATTTCAAACAAAATGTATTTGGGTTAGTGGTAGGAATTAGGGGTATGTAGATTTAAAGGAAAGCGTATTTCAATTTAATGTGCAGAAATATAGGGGAGTTAAATGAGTGCCTATTGGTCGCATTGATCCCGGAGGGTTTACTCCAAATAATTTGGGTTGGTATATTTTCTATAGAAAATTGTATTAAATCCGTTAAGTCAATTGCTGAGGCCTGGATTAAGTCACTAGAAAAGTTGATTTTTTAGTCATTTATTAGTCTCGGAGAAATTAAACATGGAAACCTTTAATCTTGAGAGGAAATTGCTCTGGAAAAAATGCTGAAAAGGGGGGTCTTTGGGCGGCACATAGGTATTAAGAAGTAGATTAGAGAGAAACCCCCTGTAAGAACAGAGTACATGTAAGTTCAGATTATCCATCTTTTAATTTAAAAGTTGGGTGTGCTCCAATAAAGTACAGCTTGGTATCCAAGTAATATCACAGTCTAAAATGTTACAGAATATTTTTTCTGTTGAAGTTCTTGAATTTCTGTTAGGTTGTATAACTTATTTTTCTATCACTTTTTCAGTTTCAAAGAAGAATACAAAGAGAGTGAAACTCATGGTCGGTGGAATTCCAAGTAGTACAAAGACGATAGAAGTCCACTGCAAGGTAAAAAAATTTTTTTAAATCTCTTTCTTAATTTTTTGGTGTATTTATTGCAAAAATGTTACGAAAACCATTTGCAGCAATTGTATTACAGTAGAACCTGTGTAAGTGGAACACCCTCCGTTCTGCCAAAAAGCGTTCCACTTAGGAGGTGTTCCACTTACGGAGGTTTTGGGTTCGCGGGGATTTAATGAACATACAAGATCAAATATAGAATTTATATGTATCACTGGAAATATGATTCTCCCTTCATTGCAGGGCACATATACAAAAAATTGGCCCTAAGGCCCCAATAAGTGGGCTTTGTGGCATTACTTGGCCTTTTTAGGTTTATTTTATAATCTTAGACCAAATTCTGAAGAAAATGGGCCTTAAATTTGCAAACTTTGGTCCCACATTTTGCTTTTAGGGGCCAAAAAGTTTTTTCCGCGCAAGAGCGGAATATTTTTTATTAGACTTGAAATTTGCCCCCCCCCTTGTTGGTTCCCAGATTTTCCCCTGGGTATATACCATTAATAATCCATTTGGTTTACTTAAAAAGGTATCTGACATTCTTAATCCTCCTCATTCTGCCAAAAATGTTCTGACATTCTTAATCCTCCTCATTCTGCCAGTCTCCGGTACAACGGTTTGGCAATTAAGTTTTAAAGACTTGTTCCTACTGCTAATAATTCAATTGTTTTTTAACTGACATTCTTAATCTTACTTATCAAGTTTGAAACAAACAGCAAGGGGTATAAATTAGTGGTAGCATCACATGTCCATCTCTACAGGAGGTTAATCCAATTTTCTGAATGATAATCTTATGAAATCCTAATTTGCTGATTATCAAATTAATTAGTGGTTCCATCATGTGTTGACCTCTACAGGAGGTTAATCCAATTTGCTGAATGGTAATCCATTAAAAAATCTAATTTGCCAATTATCAAATTATTACCTATTTTCATACCCAGATATCACCGTAGGAGGTTAATTCTGTTTACATAAGTATCAATATTGAAATTTATGGAATTTGACTGTTCCACTTAGCAGGTTAATTTTTCAATATGGGGTGTTCACTGTTCAAGTTTGGAAGTGTTCCACTTACAGAGGTTCAATTAACACTAAGTCAATGGGTTTTTAAAACGGGACTTTGAAAAAGCGTTCCACTTTCGAGGTGTTCCACTTACGGAGGTGTTCCACTTAGCAGGTTCTACTGTATATTATCTGTCATGGAAATTTGAAAATGTTAATTTTACTTTTCTATTAAATTTTACAAAATTGATCATCTTTATTTATATTTTATCCAGTATGAAGTAGAAGTAACCATGTAATAGTGCGAGGTTCTTTTGCAATTGACCAATCAAACATTTGATAAGAGATTTGATAAATAAATTCCTCTATTTTATTTCAGAATTTTAGAATTTTGACATTCAGCTTCAAGATGACTACAAAAGACGAAACAAAATCTGTAAGGTTTATTCATTTATCTCGTATATTTTTCAATCGTGCACATATTACTTTTGAATGAATATAGTTCAGTTGTGCAAATAAGTAAATTGTGTATTACATTTATATTCAATTGTGCATTTTCAATTATTCAGATTATACGGTTTAGTTATGCTTGAATTTCTATTTTGCATATATTTCACTGATGGAGATATCTCAATTGTGCATATATCTCAATTGTGCACATATCTCCATTGTGCACATGTCTCTGTTGTGCATATTACTCAGTTTTGCATATTTTCAATTGTGCATTTATTTCAGTTCAATTATGCATGTACAGGGTGACACAAAAAATGCCATCCATTTATTTTGGAATAACATTCTCAATAATTTGTGTTCAATAGAAACAACATATTGTTGCACCTCAGGATAGCATTAACAACTATTTTCAATTGTGCATGTACATATGCAAGTATTTCATTTTTGTGTTTTATTTTATTATTTATTTTTTTAGGTTGTCAATGCCCTAGTTCACCATGCTTTCCCAGCGCGTCCAGATTTACTCTTCGCTTTTGACTATGCCAGCCCAGAATCAACGAAAGGTAAGAGCTAATGCACCATTCAGAGGTTTGCGTGAGTCCCCACGGGGAGAGTTGGGAGTTTTACACACAGTATTGTCCCAGGGGTGGGTTTCTTAGGCAATACTTGGTCCCCGGAATAGAGACTTTTTAAATGCGTATTATCAATAATCAGATTTTTTGATGATATTTGACCAGCTATTTTTGCTTCCAGGGTGAGGAAATTGTTGTAGGGGGTAGGTTGTATATAGGTGGGTAGACTTTCCCCTCGTGTATAGTGCCATGAAGGTATCTTTTGTTCATGAAATAAGTGATGTAATACTGTATAAGTGGTAATTTTGCCTTATCATTTAATTTGTCTATTGCCTAATTTTTGCCAGGTTCAGAAAATTGAATATCAGAAATATTATGTTTATAATGTCATCCAATGGGACGTTTCTTGTCATGAGGAAAATTAGAATTAGGAAAATGATAAAATTTCGGCAAATTAAGCACTCAGATTAAATACCACTTTTTATACGGTAGACTATCCATAAAAAAATTACAAAACTTTAAAATTGAAGAAGACCAGAATCGATGAGATAAAATAACTGTTGCTCACTGATGTATCATTCTAATTTTATAAATAGTGTAGAAATTATGTTGTATTTGTGTACTTATATTTATTTATAATTAATATTCTGGTTTACAGAACTGCCCTACCCCACTGTCATGTATGATATGCCATCTCATTGGGAGGGTGAGCTGAAACGCCTCCACTGTTCCGACAAATGGAGAGTAACTCTAGTCAATTCTTCCTACAGTAGGAGTTGTAGGTTAGTGATAATGTTGCCTAATTTGTTGCCATGGTAACATGGTGCTTATATTCTTTTCAACCACTGCAAAAAAATTCGAAAAATATTCTCAAGAGTAGTGAAAATTCAAGCAGAAGTAAATAAAGGGTCAATACCAGATTTTATAAGTTGCCTAATTTGTTGCCATGGTAACCTGACAAAAATCTCAAGAAACATTTATTATTTGTTAGGTTGTTGCAAATTTCAAATGTTTAACAACTGTCCATTAAGTGTTAATTCTAATATGTGTGTCTGTGTTAATTTATGATTTAAAACTGATCAAATACATCTTTCTTAATTCTTCATTGATTTTTTATGATGAAAAATAGAATTGGTTTCTTTGGTAACATTGTGTTTTTATGTCACCCACAAAAGTGATGCCATTTTGTGACCATAGTAACAGTTGTTACACGTTGAAATTTGTAACAACCTAACAAATAATAAATGTTCTTGAGATTTTTGTCAGGTTACCATGGCAACAAATTAGGCAACTTATAAAATCTGGTATTGACCCTTAATTTTACTTCTGCTTGAATTTTCACTACTCTTGAGAATATTTTTCGCATTTTTTTGCAGTGGTTGAAAAGAACATAAGCACCAAACCCACTAAAAAATTGCATAATGCTCATTAATGTGATGTTTGCCAGCCTTGCTTAAAGAATTTTCTTGAAAGAAAAGAATGTTCTAATAAATCATCAACAATTCATTGTGCCCTTAAATCCTTGAATAACTATGTGCGACAATTTAATCAGCTAAAATCAATTTAATGTCAGTATTTAAATTTAGTCATTCAGGGCTCTTGCCAGGCTTTTAGACTGTGGCGCAGCACCACACTCTATTTAGCTCCCTCCACACCCTATTGGCAAATCATGACTGTTTCCACAGTCTAAACTTGACTGAATATACAATAATAGCATGTAAAAAGGATAAAACATAACATAAATATGACTTATCACGATTGAACAGTTATTCTGAAGATGTTAGCACCACACATTTTTGGATGATTTTTCAGTCTGCCCGAGAGCTTTGTCGTGCCATCTTCAGTGACAGATCCGGATATAACAAAGGGAACAGCGTATAACATCAAGAATCGTGTCTCTGTAAGTATTCAATCAGCGTAAAGCGTATATGTGTAGGTTTCATTTAGCCGTAGGCAAAGGTAGATTTTCCATTTGTGGTATGCAGAATTGAAGAATTGAATTTGATATGTGCTGAACTGCTGGTGTAGTTGGGTCTTACATATCTAATTTCGTGAATCGGTCATTTTCAGAACATAGGCGGCATCCCAAAATTTTGAGAAAACAATATATATTGAAGGTTACATGGGAAATGTTCATTTATGTAGTATTTTTGAATTGATGATCTTATACAGAAATGGCTAACAGTAAGAAAAATTTGCACGCCCAAATACTAAATCTCCAGATCTAGTAACTGGTGTACTATATTTTTATTTCTATATCAGATCTTACTCTATCTTTCAGACTTGGAGTTACTCCTACGAAAATGGTGCTTCTTTGGTCAGACTGGCCCGACTCATTCCAGATACGGCAAACACACTTTACGAAGAAAAGTAAGTTATATTAACTTGGTATTTTTACATGTATGTATACTTGTATATAAATGATTGTATTAAATTCCTTGCGAAGCATTTGTATGGAAGTAGGAAAGTTAGCATGCTATATCCACCGATATTGCCCGCTTGCCTCGTTTTGATATTAGATTTCTTTAATAACCATGACAATATCATGATGTCATGTTTCATTTCGATTAAATTCTACTCGCTCACAGATGCGTGATGTCATTGATATAAAATAGCCATGGGAATAAAGGTTTGTAATACATCAGTTATGTCACGATGACGTGATATATGCCTTTATTCTTAGCAGTTATGTCCCTATCATTGAATAATTACGACAGACCGAAGACATATATTCCATCATGACATTATTGTTGTATTACATACCTTTATTTCTATGGCTACGTTATATCAATGACATCACACATCTGTTTGCGAGTGAAATTTGGACGAAGTGAAACATGATGTCATAAGATTGTCATGGTAAAAAAGTTTGGCGGCTAGACAGGAATTTATAGTCGACCTTCTGCCCCATTGACTTCAATACAAATGCTTCGCTAGGTATGTAATACTTGCCCCATAGAGCCTCCCAAAGTCGGCCTATATTAGGAGAACTGCGGCATATTTTACGTAATGGTGACATAACCTCTAAATATGGGATAATTGAAATGTGACAAGGTATGGAAAACAACAGAATATGCAAGGAATTAAGAAGAATAAGAGTCTTTTATTTTTAATGAACATACTATTAAGTTAGGAGGTCTTTCATTAGTTATTCAATTTTTTATGTCACCACTTGTGGTGTTATATATTATTATAACATATTGTTATTGTCTCCATCATTTTTGTGGATGGCGTTTGGTGGTTGGTGTTCGGCATCCATCAAATAGTGTTTAGCATCTGTAACAAATGGCTTGTTGTATTTTTGTGTCTGTTTTTACAACCATTGATCTATAAATAATAATAAATATCCATTTCATCTTTTACATCATGTAAGGTATTTTCAGCCTGTAATATTATTTAAACTGATCTTTTTCAAGGATGTGCAAGGCCATACTTGAAACCAATCCGGGAAATACGCAACGAGAACTAATTACCAAAAATCTAAACAAACGTCTGCCAACTGTTAAAGATTTACAGTCAAACTTTGAGAAACTCAAGGAGATATGCATGCCAGGTGAAAAGAGTTTTTTTTTTTTTTTTTTTTTTTTAATTCCATATTATATAACTTCACCTGTCATTAAGAAATGAATCATAGCCATTCCTTGATCTTTAAGTATGTCATTTACATAGCCAGAATTTAAAATCAACTGAGCAAAATAATAAAAAAATGGAAAGGATATACTATGTACATGTACTATCACTGAATTGTCTATTCACCTATTTAGGTTTTTGTTTGACTTAATGCTCAGAAATATTTTATGGGCTCCATTCTGGTAATATACACCATTTTGAGAAATGTATTTTTTCTCACCATATGAATGGTGTCATTTTTTCAGTTGTCATGAAATGGCATGAAGAAGCCTTGAGGGTTGTATATTTAAGAAATAAAGAACGAAGAGCAGGGGTTATATTGTCGAATACACCCCGCAGGGCTAGACACAACTGTTTTCTGTACCCAGAATGACCGAAGGGAGTGAGGGGTTCGAAAACGTTTGTGCCTAGCCCTAAGGGGTGTATTTGACAATATTACCCCCGCTCTGAGGCCTATATTACGATTCGAACATGAAAACTCACCAAAATGTTTCGAATATTCATTATGGTCCGCCATTACTACGACCTGCAGTTATGACGTCACACATTACACATATTACCAGGGGTATTCTTCGCGAATATACCCCGGGTGAAATGTTGACTTTGTTTACAGTTTATAGAAGGCGTGAATACAGTCATGTTCGAATTTCTTATATAGGGTCCAAGTCAGATTCATATATTACATGAAGCCTTGAGGATTGTATATTTTCTTATATAGGGTCCAAGTCAGATTCATATATTACATGAAGCCTTGAGGATTGTATATTTTCTTATATAGGGTCCAAGTCAGATTCATATATTACATGAAGCCTTGAGGTTTGTATATTTTCTTATATAGGGTCTAAGTCAGATTGTGCAAGCAAGGATGCAAGTTGGTATGCAGATTTAGATAACACTGGCTGGTTACAAATTATTAGGGATTGTCTCCAAATCTCTCGTGAAGTGGCTCAAGCTATGATTGGTGGAAATACTGTTGGAATTCAAGGTAAAACTGGTGGTAAATGTATGTTTGCTAAACATGTCTCTGTGTGGAAAACATGTCTCTGTATGGAAAACATGTTTCTTTATGGAAAACATGTCTCTGTATGCAAAACATGTATCTGTGTGGAAAACATGTCTCTGTGTGGAAAACATGTCTCTGTATGGAAAACATTGTCTCTGTATGCTAAACATTGTCTCTGTATGGAAAACATGTCTCTGTATGGAAAACATTGTCTCTGTATGGAAAACATGTTTCTGTATGCTAAACATGTTTCTGTATGGAAAACATGTCTCTGTATGTAAAACATGTCTCTGTATGGAAAACATGTTTCTGTATGGAAAACATGTCTCTGTATGGAAAACATGTTTCTGTATGCTAAACATTGTCTCTATGTGGAAAACATGTCTCTGTATGTAAAACATGTTTCTTTATGGAAAACATGTCTCTGTATGCAAAACATGTATCTGTATGGAAAACATTGTCTCTGTATGGAAAACATGTCTCTGTATGCTAAACATTGTCTCTGTGTGGAAAACATGTCTCTGTATGGAAAACATGTCTCTGTGTGGAAAACATGTCTCTGTATGCTAAACATGTCTCTGTATGGAAAACATTGTCTCTGTGTGGAAAACATGTCTCTGTATGTAAAACATGTCTCTGTGTGGAAAACATGTCTCTGTATGCTAAACATTGTCTCTGTGTGGAAAACATGTCTCTGTGTGGAAAACATGTCTCTGTGTGTAAAACATGTCTCTGTATGGAAAACATTGTCTCTGTGTGGAAAACATGTCTCTGTATGTAAAACATTGTCTCTGTGTGGAAAACATGTCTCTGTATGCTAAACATGTTTCTGTATGGAAAACATTGTCTCTGTATGGAAAACATGTCTCTGTGTGGAAAACATGTCTCTGTATGCTAAACATGTCTCTGTGTGGAAAACATTGTCTCTGTGTGGAAAACATGTCTCTGTATGTAAAACATGTCTCTGTATGCTAAACATGTTTCTGTATGGAAAACATTGTCTCTGTATGCTAAACATGTCTCTGTGTGGAAAACATTGTCTCTGTGTGGAAAACATGTCTCTGTATGTAAAACATGTCTCTGTATGCTAAACATGTTTCTGTATGGAAAACATTGTCTCTGTGTGGAAAACATGTCTCTGTATGTAAAACATGTCTCTGTATGGAAAACATGTCTCTGTATGGAAAACATGTCTCTGTGTGGAAAACATGTCTCTGTATGCTAAACATGTCTCTGTGTGGAAAACATTGTCTCTGTGTGGAAAACATGTCTCTGTATGTAAAACATGTCTCTGTATGCTAAACATGTTTCTGTATGGAAAACATTGTCTCTGTGTGGAAAAAATGTTTCTGTATGGAAAACATTGTCTCTGTGTGGAAAACATGTCTCTGTATGGAAAACATGTCTCTGTATGCTAAACATGTTTCTGTATGGAAAACATTGTCTCTGTGTGGAAAACATGTTTCTGTATGGAAAACATTGTCTCTGTGTGGAAAACATGTCTCTGTATGGAAAACATGTCTCTGTGTGGAAAACATGTTTCTGTATGGAAAACATGTCTCTGTATGCTAAACATGTTTCTGTATGGAAAACATTGTCTCTGTGTGGAAAACATGTCTCTGTATGGAAAACATGTCTCTGTATGCTAAACATGTTTCTGTATGGAAAACATTTCTCTGTATGGAAAACATGTCTTTGTATGGAAAATATGTCTCTGTATGGAAAACATGTCTCTGTATGCTAAACATGTTTCTGTATGGAAAACATTGTCTCTGTGTGGAAAAAATGTTTCTGTATGGAAAACATTGTCTCTGTGTGGAAAACATGTCTCTGTATGGAAAACATGTCTCTGTATGCTAAACATGTTTCTGTATGGAAAACATTTCTCTGTATGGAAAACATGTCTTTGTATGGAAAATATGTCTCTGTATGCAAAACATGTCACTGTATGTAAAACATGTCTCTGTATGCTAAACATTGTCTCTGTGTGGAAAACATGTCTCTGTGTGGAAAACATGTCTATGTATGTAAAACATGTCTCTGTATGCTAAACATTGTCTCTGTGTGGAAATCATGTCTCTGTATGGAAAACATGTCTCTGTATGTTAAACATTGTCTCTTTGTGGAAAACATGTCTCTGTATGCAAAACATGTCTCTGTGTGGAAAACATGTCTCTTTATCCAAAACATGTCTCTGAATAAAAAATAAGTCTCTATGCTAAACAAACATGTCGCTGTGCTAAACATGTCTCTGAGTACACAGCATAAATTTTAAAACTTCTTTCAATTACTCAATTGCTTATTCCTCTCCATGTCTATTTAGGGTGAATCATTAACATGGCGTCTGTATATAGAGTCCTTGCCGATTCCTCTTTTTAGTTAAACATTTTAAAATTTTGAAGCATGCCGCCATCTTTTCATTGCAGAAGAGGAGTCTTGTGATTATACATGCATCATTACCAGTCTTGTTCAGCTGATGTTAGACCCACATTACCGTACCATATCAGGCTTCCAATCGCTCATACAGAAGGAGTGGATCGCTATGGGGCATCCGTTTCTCACTAGATGTGGACATATCACCAGTCAAGACATTGAGAAGGTTTGTGGAAATGTATAAGCAAAAGTTTTCTGTTCATTTTGAGATATGAAAATTGAAAAGTTCAGAGTTTCTGCTGTTTTGTTGTAGAAATTGAATTAATTATTGAAGTGATATGATTTTCTTTTGGGCTGTGTGCCTGATTTTAAGGAGTGGAGAATCTTATTGTGATTTGTATTGTATACAATACTTTATTACAATAAATTGCACATCCAGGGCTGTGTAATGCAAATACAGTTTTTATTATGACGCTAAAACCCATTGCAGTTGTATTTTATTTTTCAGTCGCCAGTTTTTCTCATTTTTCTGGACTGTGTATGGCAGTTGACTCAGAACTTTCCAACAAGTTTTCAGTTCACAGAAATCTACCTAACGATCCTGTGGGACAGTACGTATTTAACCATATTCGATACCTTCCTGTTCGATAATCCACATCAACGGAATAATCTGAGTCAGGATTTCGGCGGTCGGAGAATTCCAATGGTACATACTTGGCAGTGGGGTTCGCAACTGGCTCCTGGGGATCTCCCAATGTTCAACAACCCGATTTACTCGTTACATTCTGAAAATGAGAAAACGACTCTAAATATGAGTGAATCAACAAACTGTGAGGCAAACCATCATGTGGTGTCAAGCTCAAAAGAAATGACATCACAGTCTAAAGATATGATGTCACAATCAAGGGATTTGATTTTACCCTTAGCTGAGCTGCCATTGGTCAAATTCTGGTCATATTTATATTTACGCTGGCTCACGCCAGTTGTGATTAGTGGAGGTGGTTCCGTTGATGAGTATCTCAGACAATGTACAATATTAGAGGAAATACAACAACTACGGAGTACGTTAGATAATCTGCAGACAAACTCAGTACTACGGCACCATAAAAAGCCACATTTGTTCACTTTAAATCATGTGACATCGCCAACAAAACTACATGATGCCCTGACGTCCTCCTTCCCATTCCAAACTGTGGGGTCCACACTGAACTCTCCGAGTGTTGTCGGGTCACCAGTGACGCCAAATTTCAAGAGTAAGACTCCGACCCCCAAGCCCCAGGGAGGGGTTGTGTTGAAGCCTAAACACAACAAGAAAAAATAAAATGTTGGCTAGTCAAGCACTAGATAAAGCAGTAACCTGTGTCATACTTTCCTATGCAATGTTTCTGACACCCCTATTTTGTGAAATAGAATGCTCCATTGTAGCATTTTGGACAAGTTCATGTGTCGATCAGACGATATTCAAGTTTTTTTTAGTTGAGACTTTAATTCCGGGTGCTGTAATTTGAAAGCATCATTACTTTTGATGTCTTATATTCAGTTATTGTTATTTCCTGTTTTCGTGATGTAACCCTCTAGTCTAAGAGTAAGTTGTATTTAACATATCACTGAAGCTTGTGTGCTGCACCCACTTGAGATTTTTAAAATGGGCTGGCACCACCTATGAAAACTCAGATGAATCCTGAAAACCCTTGGCCTGGGTAAGTTAATACTTTGGCTCTGATTTTGAACAGCTTCCCATCTAGGGTAAAGGAATGTAACTTGACATGTGTGGAAATGTCGATACAAGAAATGGGGAAACTTTGACACTTACTTGTTAGAAATTAGAATTTCCATTCCCGCCATGCGAGAAAAGAAACATGGCTTCCACCTAGATCGGAAATTAAAGCAAATTAGCAAAGTTACCACAAATTGAATCAAAATGGTGTTGACATAAATATTAACTTTTTGCTTCAAAACGTTAAAGTAGATCATCAATTTAAGTGAAATACATACTGTACTGAAGATATTGGTTACCAGTATTTTACAGGCATGCAGGCGACCCAGGTGGGCGCTTTTATTTTTTTCATAGGGATGGTAGGGTCAAAAACACATTCCAAAATTAATTTATGGACTATCTTTGAGATTATGTTGTCATAAGAAAAAAAGCTAACATACTTGGGCCTTAGGCCTACCCGAATTAAAAGTATCCAAATTGTCCTTGAAAATAAGAAATCAAGTTTACTGAAGCAGGGTTTAAATGCTTGTCAATCGTTTGTGATGTCACAGGGGTGCTTCCTAACCAACAACAAAACAAACAAGTATATGGTATCGTTCAGTGTCTTACACTACTGATGGTATCAGGCCGGGGTATCGGGGCTAGGCAACTTCTATTTTCTGCATATTGCATAATCAAGTTCAGAATTCAAAAAATGAAAGTGTTTATTCCAATTAAGCTTAAACATACATGCATATGCATGTAATTAAAAATCCCTAGTGTCGCATTAATTTTTTGAAAGAGAAAAAAAGCAAAAGAAAAGTTCCATTTTGCTCATCAATGAATCAGAATCAGATAGTTAACTTACCTAAGGCTTAGCTCTCTCTTTAATTGATACCCTTTCATATATTACTGAATGATGTCAAGGCATTTTACTGATGTCAGGGCTAAATTCTGAATGATGTCAGGCCATTGTACTGATGAAAAGGCAGAATAAAAGACTGCTTTCTTTTGCATATACATGTAAAAATCCCTAGTGTCTCATTAGTTTTTTGAAATAGGAGAAAAAAGCAAAATAAAAGTTTGCTCATCGCTTTTGCTCTTGAATCAGAATCGGATAGTTAACTCACCTTAGCCTTATCTCTCTCACTCTCCCTGATGGATGCCCTTTCATCGATAAACTGAACTGATGTCAAGGCGATATATATTTTACTGAATTATGTCAGGCCAATGTACTGATGTCAGGGTTATATTCTGAATGATGTCAGGGCATTATACTGATGAAAAAAGTAGAATAAAAGACTGCTTTTGCTCATTTTGAAAAAGGTTTGATCAATCAAGACCAGATTGTTAAATTGCTTTATCTTTAATTGATGTCCTTTCATTGATACTCAATATTGGTGTCAGGGCTATATACTGAATGATGTCAGGGCAATATTTTGATGTTAGGGTGATGATCAGTGGCGTCATGGCAACATACTGATTTTTGATGTCAAGGCAAAATATAGATGTCAGGGCAACAAACTGGTATCTTGGCACAAGACTTATGTCAGGGCATTGCTGATGTCAGGTACATGCAGACATATATTCTATGCACCCCGGTAGATTATGGAATAATCCAAAAAGCAAGATATAGATACAGTTGAATTTTATGCCACGAAGGCTGGACAAAATCAGGTATAGTTATTAAAATGCTGAATATCAGAAAATATAAGAAGGCAAGAAAAGAATAATATGTGCAATGTTAAAAGATGTGCACCTTCATGCATGTGATGCTGTTTTCTTTTTCTCATAATATATGAATGAAATGTCTGATTTCCTTTACAATTTTTACAATTTAGAATACTACATACATACCTGTTTACTTTTTTGATTGATTCCAAGCTTCTATTATGATAGACAATTCATAAAATAGTGATCAAGAATTATGTTTGTGATGTTTGAATTGCAAAATAGAGTGGAAAAGAGATGACTTAGCATGGAATAAAGTAAATAAGCTTGCGGTGAACACTCTATATTGTATAGAAATGCAAGAAAATCAGACACTTCATTCAAAGGACGATTCTCGGTTTGGAGAACGAAGTTCATCAATCTAAATGAGCATTATCCCTGCTTCGGACAAATTTGATTTTTTACATAATATAGATTTGAATGTCTTCTTTTGAATAGTCATAATTTAATTTGGGTAATATTTCTAGATTTTTCGCAAAAAAAGTATTAGCATAGTACACTGATTAACTTCTTTCCCCAAATCGAGACTTGTATTTTATTAAATCGGTCTAATTGAGCGTTATCCCTGCTTCAGACAAATTTGTTATTTTTACATCTTGTAGATTTAAATGTCCTCTTTTGAATATTCATAGTTTAATTTGGGTAATATTTCTATATTTTTCATGAAAAAAATTATTAGCCCAGGAGACTGTTCTCCAAACCGAGAATCGTCCTTTTAGAGAGAAATGGAGTGAAATAAGCAATGTTTATAGTATCAAAGTACAGCTTTGTATCCTAATGTATATTTTCTTAAAATGATCTGTATATTTAGAACTACACGTATATTTTAGTATATTGTATACACAAAAAGTGGAGGGGTATACAACGGGTTTGCATGAACGGTTTTAATGAATTCTTCAAACTTTGAAGGATTAAAAGATGAAAGTTTTATCAAGAAAATCACTGTATTAGAGGCGTTGTAACACTTTCGTCAATAAATCAACAACAACGCCAAATTATTCGTAATTGAGTGTGTTCATTCTCAAGAGCTATTCGAATTAACTTGTTTTAGATTGTATTTAGTAGTTTTGTAAACAAACAATGAGCGATTGTTTAAAATAATTTGAAATCCAGCCAACCACCTAGGAGTAACTTAAACCTTGTAGAACTTTGTACACTTTTTCAAAAGTTTTGAAAAGTGTTTAAAAGTTTTTTGTTTTGTTTTAGATTTGCATATCACTGATGCCGTACAGTATATTTATAATGTTATATGGTCAGTCTAGAACCATCTTTTAGAGAAGTTCAATCAATGATTCATAATGGCAGAATATTTATGCAATACCTGGGGCATCCATTTTGTTACGGAAACTGGTGTTTTGGAATAAGTTACTCCATAGAGTTCATATGTGCATTTATAAATCCTACTGTTGGGTAACATGAGATGATAATGGCTTATATATGTAAGTACATACATATTTATATAGAAAAAATGAACAAGACATATGAATAAGGTAATTTTCTGATTTTTTGAAAATAAGAGTTGATAAGCTGAAAAACGATTTTCTTAAGTAGTTGCTTGCTGATAAATACTGACCGGGTGTGTCAAAACTTCTCAAAATACTAAAAAAATACTAAATGCTGATTTAGAAATATAGAGAAGAGAAAGTTTATTTCATTTTTTGCGTGGAGCAGAATCCATTCAGCTGAAATTAAGTAATACTCTATATTTATATGTATATGTCTTGAGAACTTTGAAACAACCATGAGATCAAAAAATATTTTTAAAAATCATGTTTATTTTAAAATCAGACTTTTCGCTTGCAAGAATGATTTACCCCAATAACAGAATGTACACTCCCCTCCAAAGGTTTGGCAACGAAGTCCTATTCAGTTCACATGCTAAAGCCTCTTTATGTTTGGCGATTAAGCCTCTTAATGTTTGGCAATTTAGCCTCTTTATGTTTGGTAATTTAGCCTCTTAATGTTTGGCAATTTAGCCTCTTTATGATTGGTAATTTAGCCTCTTAATGTTTGGTAATTTAGCCTCTTAATGTTTGGTAATTGAGCCTCGTAATGTTTGGTAATTTAGCCTCTTAATGTTTGGCAATTTAGCCTCTTAATGTTTGGTAATTTAGCCCCTTAATGTTTTGCAATTTAACCTCTTAATGTTTGGTAATTTAGCCTCTTAATGTTTGGCAATTTAGCCTCTTTATGTTTGGTAATTTAGCCTCTTTCTGGTAGGTAATTTAGGCTCTTTATGTTTGGCAATTTTAACAACTTCATCAAATACATTTTACAATCTTTTTAATGAACAAAATCAAGATCAGACATAACCAGGATTTTTTGTACTACCCATTTTGCATTTTCACTGTCCAAATCCAAACTTATGGAGGGGGGTGTATGTTCGGTAAAATAAAAATAGCAAATGAAACAAATTAAAGTAATCATGTAAAACAGTAATTATTTTGTACTAAATGTTGATTTGTAATTACAAAATAAATTATTTTATCAAACAATTCCATAATGGAATAAATTGTATGCTTTAAACTATTACATAAAATAAATAAAAAATATAGTTTCAAAATAAACATTGTCTTGTATTGTTTGAATTGAAATAGATCATTAGATTGAAATCTCAATAGAAACATTTTTCAGAGTACTTTATTTATTTGTCTTTTTGTTGCACTTGCACTTGAAAGTGCGATATTATCATCATTGTTTGTGCAGGTTTGGAAAGTGGGCAGGCACTACAGCAAATCTTGTCATCAAGATAGCGAGAAAACTGTTCATCTATTTGTTAAGCATAAATTGTTAGACTTGCCAAAATCATGTTGGGTAATGTTGGGTAACTCATGAATCATGGTGTGGCCATTGTTTCTGTATTGTCAATAATATATTGTACAATATCTCGTAACAGCCCCACTTAGGTAGCAACACAATTGAATAGAATGAACTGTAGTTTATTTTAAAGAATTGATGTACAGTTGTAACAAAAGAAGAGTGCATTCTTTTGTATTGTTTTTAAAGAATGGACAATGTTTGCCCATTACACATTTAATTTAGGCCCATCCACTCATGTAAATTTATTGAGTTCCCATTTTAATTGCCATGTCTTATCAAAACAGTTGTAAGTCCAGTACTGCATCATCCTAAAAAAAATGACAATCAAAATTGGTCTATTTCATATGAATTAAGGTTGATGTCTACAAACATCGGGAAATGGAGATAGTTTGATTTTAAAAATTGGTCCTTTTCTGAGCATATATTTCCACACTACCCTATACCCCCATACTGTAGCTTCTATTTCTTAAAAAGGGATACAAGCTACAGCGAAG